TCACATCACAGGAGAGTGAACTGCCTGTCAGAAATCATAGCATGTCAGCTATCTTAACCGTGGCTTGTGTACTGCATCATCACTGTGTCTGTCACGTGACTCTGTTACCCTTTCGGGCTTGAACTGATGGTAAAACTAACGACATTATTAACTGTCTTGATATTTACTTTGAAAGCTGAAGCTGCGATTATGGTAAGGATTGTTACATTTCCGACGCGTGCTTGTGGTGTTCGGCCAATCACAATGCACTGGGTCAGCTGGCCAATCAGAGCAGACTGCGCTTGTCAAAGGAGGGGGCTTTGTTGAAAATACGCGTTTGAGGGAGGTGGGGCATAGAGGACCTACAATGTACAGTATTTGAAAAATAATGTGTTTTTTGAACATTAAAGCATGTCAACATATTTTGTTACACCAAATAATGATCTTTAAAATAGCATCATATGAAATTTATTTGAACTCAGTGATAGTTTACAGTATTACTGATTTTACTATATTTCTGATTAAATAAATGCAGCCACAATGAGCATAAAAGACTTCTTTCAAAAACATTACAAAACCGACCCCAAACTTTTGAACAATAGTGTACATATGAATTTGTGCTGTTTGTTTTCTCACATAATCACCTTTTTAAATATTATAAAAAAACAACAACCCTGCAACACGGTTTTGGTGCTGGTTATTTAGATGCAAGGAAAATGAACAAATCAAATCAAACAAATTAGTCCAATCACAAATCAATATGCTAATGAATGCAAAAATAAATAACCAACTGAAATTCTGTACACAATTTTTGTGTATGCCAACCTGCTTTTAGTTAGATTTGAAATGTAAGCTAATGCCGTAAAAGTCTTTAAAAAAAACAGCATTAGTGAGAAATTGTTAAGGTATTAACATTGACAATAAAGGGGCTTATTAAGTCCATTGACTTTTTAAAAACCACACTGAGATGTACGGGGCAGTCCATTAGCCCAGTGACAGCTCCATCCTGGGTGTGAGGTTGGAGTTTATCCCAGCACCCTCAGTGCCCTTGGTAATTCCATAGGCAGGCAAGCGATTGTACTGCACAGCGCTCTTGTAGCAACGTCTGTTCACCTTGACATCACAGGCTAAATTTGGCTTGGGAGGAATAAATCAGTTTCCAAAAGAGCTTCTCCCTCTCTCCTGCTCTCTCACTGTCACAAACACACTTGCTGTAAGCCATCGAAGAGTGAAGAAGGAATTCAGGAAAAGAGCAAAAAAATTGTCTGATATAACTAATTAACTCACTGAAATATAAAACTCACAACATATTTTTTGACCAATTAACCTCCATGATTCTTCCAGTCATGATTGTTGCATAATTAAAAAACAAAATCATTCTTAGACCGGACTCACAAAGATCACTATATTTAAGCATAACAGTATATACAGTGGGTACGGAAAGTATTCAGACCCCCTTAAATTTTTCACTCTTTGTTATATTGCAGCCATTTGCTAAAATCATTTAAGTTAATTTTTTTTCCTCAATGTACACACAGCACCTCATATTGACAGAAAAACACAGAATTGTTGACATTTTTGCAGATTTATTAAAAAAGAAAAACTGAAATATCACATGGTTCTAAGTATTCAGACCCTTTGCTCAGTATTTAGTAGAAGCACCCTTTTGATCTAATACAGCCATGAGTCTTTTTGGGAAAGAATACTTTCCGTACCCACTGTGTGTGTGTGTATATATATATATATATATATTATACACACACACACACACACACACAGTCTCGCTCTCTCTCTCTCTATAACTAATAAATCCACGATAAACCCAATAGTTAAAATAGTATATATGCTTCATAATATATTTTACATTTTTAAATACATTTAAAGCCGATGAAAAAAAATCACTGTATGAAAATTCATTAATATATTTAAGTATAACTAGACAGATATGTAACTAGAAATACATATTTTAAATAAATAAATAAATATATAGTACCGAACCGTCACGGTACAGATATCTCAGTTCGGTGCATGAATACAGGCAATTCACCCCCAATCCAGAAGGGGGTGCCCGCAGCAATGCAACGCTGTTTTAGAGTTTCCTTTCTGTGAACAAATTAAGCCTGTCACAAAAATTAACTGAAACTCAGCGTATATAGGCTACATTACGCGTCGCACTGTTTTTTTCTCGTTTATCTGTAAACTAAATCAAATATATTACAAGAATTTATGTATGTATATATGTACAGCAGATTTTATATATATATCCGTGACCCTCGAACCGAGGTAGGTACCGAACCGTGACATCTGTGTACCGTTCCACCCCTAATATATATATATATATATATATATATATACATACACACACACACTGTATGTATATATATATATATATATATATATACACACACTGTATACATGCATATATATTTTAGATGGATTATTTTATAATGAAATAATAATATATGCTTTAGGGTTGGGCGATGTCTACCAAATTGGGATCGGACGATGTCTACAGTGAAACATCGTGATGGACGATGACATTGGGGGGCGGGGTTAGGGGTGTGAACCAAGTGTGAAACAAATAACGCGTTATACGGCGCCACTAAAAGGTTAGCCGCTTGCTAGCGGTAGCCTGTTGCATTACAGTACATGAAAGTTCACTTACCATATACACAGAATAAGGAGAAATAGGACGACAAAACCACGATCATATTTTGCGCAGCTTGTAAGTGAACAACGGTTCTATGTAGTAAATGCTGCTCCATGTGAAAGCCCGCACGTGATGGAGATTTACCGCTGATAACAGAACCAGCTTTACTGACAAGATGCACGTTAAATATCGCATGCGAATTATCGTGCAGCCCTAGTAAGTACTGCTGCTCCATAGTATAGAGTCCTTGTGATCACGAATCTCAAAAGTGAAAGTAAAATGAGCACGCAATCGAAAGCTGTTTCAATAGTGGCTCCCTGATGCCCGCAATTTATATACAGTCGCCTATACTTACCCAACGATATAAATTGCGAGAAAAAGTATTGAAATATTTTTTTATCCTCCCATCTCGTAGTAGGCTATTTATTCCCTTTAGGGTTTCCTTAGTACACTTAATTTCCTTTCCGAACACGGAACTGGGATGCAGCGGAATGCGGGAGAGGGGGTGGTGGGGAAATCACGATGTCAGCTTAACATTGTGATGTCTGTCAGCCATCGGCCCAACCATAATATGTTTCTTAATGTTTTAAATAAAGTACAGAAATTTAATTGCAAATAAAAGCCAAAAATAAATTTGACCTAAATGTCTGAACTTAAATACGGTTAAGTACACTGTTCAAAATCACGTAACAGACTGTCCATATCGGCATCATGAGTTGTAGGCTCTTCCTTGTGTTTGTGCAGATGGTCTAATTACGTGGCGAAGGAATTAAGAGGAATCTCACGCCCCAAACACACCAATCAGCCACCCATTCCCTCCCCCAGCTCTGCTCTTAATCCACCTGGGAGCCAATCAGAAACCTCTGTGATCGACCACGATGTGCTTGATAATTACTTGCACGTACAAGCCTCACCTGATGATCCCTGCACAGACCTGCCTCTAACTGCCACAAACCAAGCAAGGTGTGTCTGTCCTGAGGGACACCAGCTATCAGCATGTGGGGTAATGAGTAAGGGGCGAGCTGGCAAATGTAGTGGTTATGTGGTCTTATATCAGGCCACATGCTTCAAGTAACCTGTGCTAAAACCCTATAGTGGATGAAGTGAGACTTGTTCTCCATTAACTGCTGCCCCATGAGCCTAGAAAATGTCAAATTTGCATGTCAAAGCAGAAAACTCAATAACTTGCATTCCTGGCTCATAGTGCCACCTGCTGCCCACCTGTGTCATTTTGTCCACAGATACCGGTATGCCGTCAATAGTCAGTGGAGGCAGTTCGGAGCTGAGTTCTCTGCCACCAAGGGGCGCGTGTTCAGCCAGAGCATTTTCCAGATCCTCCAGAATCATGCTCTTGTATTTTCTCACCTGATCACAAGATATGCCAAAACAGGGATGCAATTTTAAACCGTGCAAACGATATGAAGGCAAAAAGCACAATAAATATACTCACCACGTTCTCTAATGGTGCCGCTCCAAATACTCTAAACACAGGGTTTGGTTTAGAGGGAGAGATGCACAACACAATAGCCTGCTGGCCAACCCGTGTCGTGTACTCATCTAGAGTCGCTCTCAGCTTCCTGCAGACATAGTAAGAGACAGGGTTCTCATTGTGAACTGTTAAATAAAATGTTATTGGAATTAGCATAATTGGAAAAATGCTAAAATAAAATAAAATATAAATTTTAGACAAAAAAAACTTTTTTTAACCCTGGGAAACTAACTGAAATAAAGTTAAAAGTACTTTAATTAGTAAAACTGAAATAAAAATAAATAGAAAATAACTAAACCATATTTTTAAAAAATTTGTAAAAATAACAAATGACTAGTATTAAAAATTTCAACTAAAATAAAAATTATTTTTTAAATATAAACAAAGGCTAATTCAAAATATGACTACATATTGTAACAGAATAAATAATACTAAAACAGCACTGTAAGAGTATACATATATACATATAGTAATACAATATTTAATACTGTAATTTAATATTTATATTATTATAATATTTATAAATACAAGTTCAAGTATGTTCAATAAGTTCAAGTTGAGGTACTAAAATGCAATATAAAAATAAACAAATATTAAAACAATTATATGCAAATATATCAATAAAAGCCAATGCAAATTTTAATTAATACTACAACAGTATAATAAAAAACACTAAAATAAACAACACTGGTAACAGTACATTTTCGTTCTTTCTTTCTTTCTTTCTATCTATCTACTGTTACATTACAATACAATGAACAATACTGAGAATATGGTTCACCTAAGCAAGCGAGTCTGTTGTCTTTTACGGATTGAAGGGTTTGATTCAAAGATGTGCGGCCGTTTCCGTTTCTTCCCTGTTGCCACAGCTGCAGCTGCTGCCATGCCAACAGGCCCTGAAAATATTTAGGGGAATAAAATCAGTTTTTTTTTTTTAACGTTTTATATCATTCAGGATATGCATTGTATCTGTTTGTGTATTCCATGGGAATTTAATCCATGAGCTTGGCAATTGCTCTATTTTGAGCTTTAAGGTGGCTGACAATTTATGGTTTAAGTGTGCCATCTAGTGGTTTGTCTGATAACGACAAGTCAGAATACAACAATGTGCTGAAACCTACCTGCAGCAGCCAGATGTGCGGTGACCTCATCGGTTCCAGTCGAGTTGAGGATGTCAGAGTCATCGTAAGCGTCATCATCAGGCGAGGATGGTGAATCCTCGTCAGCGCTCAGCATGCCATGCTCCGTGTACGTGGCAACGTGCACCTGCCCGACCTGCTGAGTGACGGCGTGGGCCTCGATAGTGGTCATGTGCTCTGTCTGATGCACCATGTGGTCTTCCATCACCCAATACAGCTTCTCTCAAACACACTGAGACACATACAATATATTAGCACACATTCTACAAGTAACTGCTTCATGTAGATTCATAGATGAGGTGACTGTCATGCACCAATTATTTTGAGGGGGGAGAAGTGTTCAAATACATGTATTTTCGTTTGCATATGCATTTAAAACACATAAAAAAATATGAGGGACCACATCTTATGTCGACTACCAAAATCACCTTTTATTAGTGCATACTGTGCATCAGTGTAACAAGACATTCTATTAATATAGTATTGGCAGATGTGCTTTTATATTGAAACAGCATCCCAAAACATTTAATTTATTGTGAATCCAGGTAAACTGGGCCACTGAGTGTGATCTCAATGTCAAAAGTGGCCTGAAATCAGCCAAAATTCTTTCATCAGTAGCGATTTAAACTAAGTGTAAAAGTACACGCTATTTATCTTAAGTAGTTTACATTTAGTGTGTAGAGAAAAAGGGCCAGTTCCTTCACATCACAATAAGCATTCATAAAGTATTGCATCTATTATTGTTGCTTTATACATCTCTCCAGTAGGGGGCACAAATAATCAATACAATTTGTTCATAAAATTAATATGTATTTTACATGAATAATGTTTTACCGAGGTTTGGCTGGAGTCTGTAAGTCTGACTGCTTTCAGTATTTAGCTAAAAGAATATATAAATATTCAATATTAGCAACAGCATATACATTTACTGTGCGTATGATATTTTGGCAAGGTGCACTCATATGAAAATACACCTATATTAAATTTCAGCAAGAATGTAAAGCTGTATCAATGACAAACTAAATGACACAGATCGAAAATCTTTTTGAGTTACGTTTTTTATTTAATAATATGACACTGTAATGACATGTCTCTGACAGCAAGCAGTGTGGATTACATTCACTAAACGTTTTGGATAAAACAAAAAATAAATAAAAACGTATGGGTGAATATCGTAGGATGACGTAGGCGCTATGAACGGTCCACAAAGATAAATAAACCAGTTCGCGGCTCCAGTATCGTTCCGTTCAATTCACTGGCCTGACACTGAAGCTCTGGTCACGAACTACGTTCACAAACACGAAAAGACATTTCAACATGCATCAACATGCACAAAGAGTCATTAAAAAAGGTAGGTTTGAACCTCCGAAATAACTGAATCGAGACTAACGTTAGTTAAGTCCAGCATCAATAACAAACCAATAAATGGCGGTTATTTTCAAACTGTGAATAATACGTGTAAAGAGAGCGGGCCGTTTGTAAGTGAAATATTAAACACTAACGCAATTCAAACTGTTATTTCAAACACAACAGTAAACATTCAGATAAGGTGCAAAACAACTGAAACACTCTTTTAGATAAAAATTTGCCGGCACCGTTGTCGACTAATGTATAAAGCGATATAAACAGTCGATAACACTGCTGTGCTAATATGATAGTAAGGTTAAACACGCATTCAAATTTGACTCCGCGAACAAGAATATAAACACAAGCTATCAAGCCTTGAAATCCCATTTAGCATCTGGACAAAACAGAAGCTATTCGACTGCACATCTAAATTCAGTAGGCCAAAGGCCTGCGCCATTATTATTTTTTTGCCTCAATTTGAGCGGGGTAAATAATAATTGCCATCCTGTCAAAAACGCTCGATATCATGCCAAGTTCTGTTTCGCATCGTCGCGATCTGCATCCGAGTGTGTGAAAGGCAAACGCTGCCGGGTTGTTTGGTGCGGCTGCGCCGGGGCTGAAATGGCTGGAGATTGCGCGGTAGGGCACTAACCTCAGAGCGGCTGCGCTACTTCGGGCCTGCGCTGTGCGGCGGAGCTGTGAACACCAGCTGCAATGGAGGACAAAGAACGAGCAGCAGCGTGCGCGCGTCCTGGGCTCAGCGGCTGGTGCACGGAACAAACCCCGCCCCTCCCCTTCCTCTCATTCTACACACTAGAGCCTGAACTGCATGATGCTGCAGCGCAGAGAAAGACAAGTACACACTGCTCTCCAAGAATGAGGGGATTGGAATTGAATTTAAATGGAATTGAAACAGTTTGAAATACGGTGCAACAGGGAATATTAAAATAACATAGAATATATATA